TATAGATGCTGTTAATCTAGCTTTTGCATTTGAGCTGACAGAGCAGTTTCCGCCTGTTTCTCTATTGAAATCCTACTTGAATGAAGCTAGCAAAGCATCTACACTTCTCAATTCTGGAAATGCATCACCTACTGTGCAGGTTTGTTCCTTGTGCGTTGGTATAATTTGGACTTGACATTTTTCTTTTTATCATATTGCTTTCCAAATGAAGCCTGTTCAGTGTTTACTGTTGTGTCATGGTCCATATATAAAAACCTCTTTTTCCTCCTGTTCCTTTGGGGCGTGCAATTGTGTATGTAGAACTTTTCATTAGCGGTGTCACAATTTAAAAAGTGAACATATTGTAAAAATATCATTTCGGAAACACAAAAATGTGCATAATTTGCACCTTATCAGAGGAGGATGAGTACATTTTTTTAAAAATTACTATCATTTTAAGTTTGTTGAAACTATTTTTTTGCATATCATATGAGAATGATTTTTCATTCAAGGGATCGTTAATAATTAGATCTCATGGATTTACTCAAGTCTTTACAGTATAAAAGGCCAGGGGTTTAATACCTCCCGACTCTATTTCCTCTATTGCCAAAAAGGCACAAAATTTAGGGCATTACACTACATGAGGATCGAATACTCGACCTCGGTCGAACAAGGAAGCACCTAAATACTAATCCATTCCAGGCTTGCTGTAAAGGGGTGTAATTTTTATTTTATCTAGTCATTTGGAATAATTAATTGTTTTTTCTCCAGAATGATGTCAATGAGAAAGAGTTGTCTGCACTAAAGGCTGTATTAAAATGCATTGAAGACCATAAGCTTGAGGAGCAATACCTTGTGGATCCCCTTCAGAAAAGGGTTCATCAGCTGGAGAAAGTGAAGGCCGACAAGAAAAAGGCAACTGAAGTTGCAAAACCTCAATCCAAAAGACCTCGTCCCAATGGTGTCGGAAATGGCCCCCGAGTAAATAATGTCGTCACTGAGAAGAACTTCTATCCAAGAATGACTGATAGGTACCCGCAGCCCGTTTATGACAGACCATATGCTTACCCTGGACCGACCAGCACCCACGTTCCATCATTCATGGGTGCTCCTGCTTACAACTTCTCTCCTGGCCACGACTTTTTTGGAAATGGCTACCATTACCAGGCTCCTTACCTGCACTGATAAGGAAACTTTGATGATTATCCCTTTTAACTATTAGTGTTTAACCTTGGAGTTTGCTTAATTTGCTCGTGTGGGCGAATTTAATACTGAATGTAGCCTACTTGTCTGTTTCTAATCTGGTGTAAAAGCTGATATTTTAATCTTTGAATATATGCACTGTGTTTCATGTTTATATCCATTAATCTCGTGTTTAACGTTTATTTCGTGATGCTACTGGAAATTATATATAAATTAGTTTGTCTACTTGCTAGTGTGTACCAATTCAGGGAAACAAAGAAATGTCGAACTTGTTCTCGTCCCGGTAAAACGAGCCACCCGTGATAGTCAGATCGGTTTGATTATCATTAGTAAAAGCTAGCTTTGTAAGCTAAGCAAGCAGGGCGCTATGCTTGGTCGTAGATCGATCATGATGTGAATGACTTTTTTGTAATGTAATGTAAATGTAATAGAAGAGATGGAATTCAATTATCAATGCCTCTCCATTTTCAACAAAGGTGATATGAGTTCCCGACTTCATTTGTTTGTGCCCTTCTGGTGCGAGGATTAAATTCATTTACTAATTATGGGTTATTATTTGTAATAATCTTCAAGTGATTTTGAAATGTAAAAATTGGATTCTTAACATGAAAAATTTAAAACTTACAAAAATGAAAAAGAATAAAGGTCCATAATAATCATGTAGTGTTGATCATCCATTCTTAACCAATGAGGTATGGATAAGGGATAACGTTTTATTATTTTATAACCAATCACAAGCTCCCACGTAAGAGTCATCCACCTTCAGAACCACAAATTTTGTCTGCCAGCAAAAAATTTAAAAAATCCTCATGTTCATGTTTGAAACTTAGTTATATTCCTGTCTGACTTAAGTGTCAATATTTGCAAAATGGCTACTGCAGCTTCCACCATGGCTAGCCAGTTGAATAGCAGCTTTGCTTCGTCTTTAACCAGAGGTCACGGCCTTGTTACTCCTAAAGGCATTTCTGGTGCACCTTTCAAGATTTTCCCTTCAACAAGAAAGTCTTGCTTCACCGTTAAGGCTGTCCAAGCTGATAAAGTAAGATACCAAATCACCACTTTTCTTACTATCATGTTCTTGATTTTCAATATTTTCTTTGTGTTTTTCGAAAATCAGAAATTCTAACTAGGAGATTCAGAAAATGATAAAATGTCACATATGAAATCCAAACATATACAATTTCAGATTTTTTTATGCTTAATTATAAGTTAAATATCAAGTATTCCGGCTATATGCACAATATAATTTTTCTATAAAGTAGATTCAATTGAAACCCTTTTAAACCACGTAGCTCCACCCCTTTTGCATCTTATAAGTTTCCTAATTATAATTTTTGGTGGGAAAAATGTTGCTAGTGAGATTCAAACACATGAGCACTTACGGCTCTTTCAAGACATCTAAAATCACTAGGCTACAACACTTTTTTTTGTCAAGGGTGTCTAAAATATGTTATTTAATCACTTCGTATATCATTTTACTTATATATACGGTATTATTTCCCGACGAAGGGTGTCAAGTAGCTACGCCCCTGCCACCATGCATGATACAATTTTTCAACAATAGAATTCAATTGAACCCTCTTCGAATCATGTATATGTGCCAGACTTTGCTTAATTGACTCCCAATAATTTTAACTAATTCATGTCCTGATCTTCTTTGGTTCTGCAGCCTACTTTCCAAGTGATTCAACCTCTAAATGGTGACCCTTTCATTGGAAGTCTTGAAACTCCAGTAACCTCAAGCCCATTGATTGCATGGTACCTCTCCAACTTGCCTGCCTACCGGACCGCGGTGAACCCGCTTCTCCGGGGAGTTGAAGTGGGCCTGGCCCATGGATTCTTACTAGTTGGGCCTTTTGTAAAGGCTGGTCCATTAAGAAACACAGCTTATGCAGGTAAAGCCCAATTCCTAGTTTCAATTTTTACACATAGAGTTTGAGTTCTATATGCTGTTAACTAACATGTTACTACAAGTAGGGGCGGAAGGGGATTCGTCTGAACCTCCTTTGTCGGAAAATTACACTTTATATATAAGGTCAATTTTTTTTTATGTATATAAAATAGATGATGAACCCGACCCATTGTATGCAGGGGGAGCTGGTTCATTGGCAGCAGCAGGACTTGTAGTGATCCTTAGCATGTGTTTGACAATTTATGGAATTTCATCATTCAAAGAAGGAGATCCATCAACAGCACCAGCATTAACATTAACTGGTAGGAAAAAAGTACCAGATCAATTGCAAACTGCAGATGGATGGGCTAAATTCACTGGTGGATTCTTTTTTGGTGGAATTTCTGGTGTCACCTGGGCTTATTTCCTCCTTTATGTCCTTGATCTTCCTTACTTTGTTAAGTAAATTTCTGTACTATTATGAATGTTAAATTGGATATATCAAAGTTGTATATCGAACCGCTGATCTCTTGGAGAAGTGTAATGAATGTTTACTTTAAACGCTAGCATATCCGCACATTTCGTTCTTGATTCTAATTCTTGCCTCCGGCTCTAGTGTAGTGGTAATCGCGCAATGCATAATGTGTGTAATGTGTTGGGTGCATGTCACGGCTAATCTTGAGCTAGTCTTGGTTATATAAAAAAGAAAAAAAAGTGATTTCTAGTACTCAAGGGCGTGATCTAGTGGTCAATGAAGTGGTTGAGAGTCATGAGGTTTCAGGTTCAAATCTAAGGTGATTCTTTCCATCTAGTTGAGGTGTGCGAAAGTTCGTCCAGACATCATGGTTATCAAAAAAGAAGAAGTTGGTTTCTCCAAATCAACCAGTTCAAGTTGGATTGTTTAATCTAAAGACTAAATGGGTTGCTGTTTACGAAATACAAATTTGGCTTGAAATTGGTTTATATGCATGTCAAAAATGGAATCAAATATAAGAAACATGTCTTACATATAAATTGTTTTAATTTAATCAACGGAAAATGATCACCTTCGAACTATTGGAAATAAAATATCATCCATTTGGTTTTTGGTTAAAACATGCCTCAAATATTAGAAACAGAACAAAAATGCATTAGCAAACTGGTCCAACTATGCTCCTATCCCGTTAAGGGGAAGGCATGGGAGCCAAAACGCCTTACAAGGCGTGATTCTCACACGCGTTTCAATAAAAAAGTTAACACCCTTTACTATAAGGCGTGTGAGGGGTCACGCCTTTTACCTGTTTCGATTTTGTTAGGAATTTTTGATGAAAAATATTGTCCTTCAGGCTCTGGACTCTACAAAATTGCTAAAGTGACAACAACATTGATTCTCATGTTAACAAAAATTATTCGACTATCAGCTGAATTGTGCAACTCAACTATTAACGATACCAAAAGTACTTAATCCCTTTTCAATTTAATTTGTGTTTCTTAATGTAAAATTAATTAGTCAATTTGGTGTAAATAGGGACTTTTTTTTATGACAAGGAAACCCATCGCCACATAGGGTAAAACCCCTTACTCCTATGCAATAGCTCACAAACCACACACAAGAGAGGTAGCCCGCAGTAGATAAGTCTGGTGCGACGAATTCGATCCAAAAGGCAAACCCCTTACTTTCGTTGGGAAGGAGTTTCGAACTTGAAACCTTCAGCATGAAAGTTCCAAGTCCAAACCACTAGGCCATCCCGAAGGGTGTAAACATGGACTTTCTTTCCCTGTTCTTTTTACAAAAATCAAGTTAGCTATGAATGATCCATTCGTGACCAATGCAGTTCGGATAAGAGATAATGTTTCAAAACTAACCAATAAGAAGCTCCCACGTAAGAGTTTCATCCACCCTAAGAACCACCAATCTGTAAACCCAAAAGATTTTCTTTGCCAGTCATTAACAAGACTTGTCTGCATCTTTTGTTATATTCTAACTAACTGATCAAACAAACAGAGCCAAACAATATTTTCCAAAATGGCTACTGCAGCATCCACAATGGCTAGCCCGTTGAAGAGCAGCTTTGCTTCGTCTTTAACCAGAGGTCACGGCCTTGTTACTCCCAAAGGCATTTCTGGTGCACCTTTTAAGATTTTCCCTTCAACAAGAAAGTCTTGCTTCACCGTCAAGGCTGTCCAAGCTGATAAAGTAAGATAACTAATCACCACTTTTCTTATTATCATGTTCTTGAATTTGACAACTTTTTTTTGAGATAAATTATAATATTCAGATCAGTTTGTACATGCCTCAACTAACTCAGCCGGGAGTCGAATCAGTAAATTTTATATTTGTGTCAAATAGATTCACTTAATATGTTCAATAATCTATTCAGAACCTAGTAACCAAAATACTAAGTTATTGTTTAGATCCCATAAATTTAAAATCTGTGATGTATCGAGTAATTCTGTCCACTGAGGCTAGGACAAATGGGAAAAGATCACCTATAGTTTGGATTTCTGTATGTTTTCTTTAGATAAGCGGCGGAGCTTAAAATTATTTAAATGCCACACCTAGATTTCAAACTAGCAATGTAAAATCAAGTTTCGAGAGTATGCCTTAATCTAATAGGCGGCATAGAGTTTCTAAGTGAAGGAACTATACATGGAACTAGCTTTTTCTAATCACCTTTTGCCATTACATAAAAAGTTTCTCTTGTGTAGAGAAAATTCAGTAATTTAATTCTTTGGCTATTGACAGGGCAAGGAATCTGAAAGGGGATTTGAAAAAAATACTCAAATGCCATACCTAAAGTTCATCTTATAAGAAAAAAATTTCTAACAAAATGTAAATTTTGGTTTGTTGGATCTGATTATTACTCAATAACTGTCCTTTGCTTTGTGTTGTTTTTCTTGATTCTGCAGCCAACTTTCCAAGTGATTCAGCCCCTTAATGGTGACCCTTTCATTGGAAGTCTTGAAACTCCAGTCACCTCAAGTCCATTGATTGCATGGTACCTCTCCAACTTGCCTGCCTACCGGACCGCGGTGAACCCACTTCTCCGGGGAGTAGAAGTGGGCCTGGCCCATGGATTCTTACTAGTTGGCCCATTCGTAAAGGCTGGCCCATTAAGAAACACAGAGTATGCAGGTAAAGTCAGACTTTAGAATTTTAACTTGATGAGTTTAATCTTTATAACTCACGGTTGATTCACACCATAGATGTCCCTAGTTTTTAAGAGTTGTGCAAATAGACAAAACATTAAACTGTCATCTAAACATCTACAAAATTTCAGACCATGGTCTAAAAGGGTCATTATTTCGAAATGTATGTATCTAAGTTCTGTGACGAAAATATTGTTACTATTATTGCAGGGGGAGCTGGTTCTTTGGCAGCAGCAGGACTTGTTGTGATCCTTAGTATGTGTTTGACAATTTATGGAATTTCATCATTCAAAGAAGGAGATCCATCAACAGCACCAGCATTGACATTGACTGGCAGGAAAAAAGTGCCAGATCAATTGCAAACTGCAGATGGATGGGCTAAATTCACTGGTGGATTCTTTTTTGGTGGAATTTCTGGTGTCACTTGGGCTTATTTCCTCCTATATGTTCTTGATCTTCCTTACTTTGTTAAGTAAATTTCTTTAATTGATGTAACTATTTTGAATGTTAAATTGGATATGAAAGATGTATATTGAACTACTAAGCTCTTGGAGGAGTGCAATTTAACTCGTTGTAATGAGTTACTTGTCTTATTCTTTATAACTTGTAGTTATCTTTAGTGACCTTTTAAATGACTTGACTGTATATAAAATTCTTACATTTTTCAAGTCTATGACTCTGAGTCGAAGAAACCGAGATGATTGGGCACATGCTAGAATAATCTTTTAAAAGGGAATCATATAACTAAAAGAATATTTGTAAAGAACGATTGAACTCGTAAAAAATGCAGATGTCTTACCTTTTCTTTAGAATATTATCTTTAATTGTAACTCACTCTATTTAAATTTTATCAAAGCCTTTTTCAAGTAAGCAAATTAATCCAAATACGAAAAATGAACAGTTCAACAAAATATTTCTCTCTCTCTCCATGCAAATCATGCATTAAAATACTTTACCTCCAAATTGAGGATACACATAACACATGTATAAAACCTCAGGGCCTGTAGATTACTTTTTTCAGTCATTGTAAACATTCCTAGAAAACAAATACATAACTACTCATTTCAGCTTTAGAGCACAGCCATGGCACCTTCAGGGTATGTAGATTACATTTTAAAGTTATTGTAAAGAATATTTATATGAATTATGTTGCTTATAAAGCAAGTGCAAGATATATTTATGACAAATATTTACTGGTAATCAATAAAAATCGCGAGTTTCTCACGCTATAATCAGTTAAATTGGAGTGATAGAACTGATAGTATATGTATAGTTTGAATCCTTTGTTTTTTAGGCATTTTAATGTGTTAGCTTACTGGTTATGTACATGTTTAGAATGGTTGGCTGGCTTTGTTTTGAATTGTTACGAAATTTTATAGTTGGTAAAAGACATAACCTAAATGTATAATCCAGAGAATTTTAGTAACTCAGTTGGTTGGCTACTTGAACTTTCACCTTGTTGGTGAGGGAATTCCCTCCCTGATTTCCCCTTCCGCTACCCCTAATTTTTTGTTCATTTTAAAAAAAAAACTATATGTATAATCTTGCTTTTGCCATTTGCCAGAAACTCAGGCAGCAGTGGCAAGCACAGTGTAGTCGTGACAGCTCTAGACGGAGTCATAAATGTGAACTCACTCTTTACCATTGCCATTTTTGTGGGACTGTCTCTTGCATCTCCAGGGCAAAAGAGCCTCAACAGTAGCGAACGTTGTCAGCCAGGGATTCTAACAGTAAAGCAACTAGTAATCTTCGAGGTGCTTTCGTTCAGTTTCTTTCTCTTCTCATCACTAGTAGCACAGGCCATAAAACTCTCCCTCAATCTTCTCTATAGCGAAGATCTGTCTCATGATTTCAGTGTTATTGTCAATGGAACACTCCTTAGAGCAGGAATGTTGATGACAGCCATTTCCTCTGTTATGGGGTGCTTGTTTCTTATGGTTTCTATGTTGAATGTGATTGAGATCAAGACTGGGATGCTAATCTGTGGAGCTAAATCTACTATTATATCAGTTACTTTCCTCATAATCCTCGTTTCTTCTGGTCTTTTGGTGTATATTTCTGCTGCATGGTATGCATTTATCCACGCAAACGTTCACCCCCATGAAAACAGGACTTCTTGATTTGCCAAGCTCTCTAGTTCTATCAAATCCTATTTTGTTGTCCAATAACAGCGGTGTCTGGATTAGTTTGTGTGCACTTCAACAATTCTATCTAACAAACCTTTGCTACCTCACAGAGCTTCATATCTTGTTTTTCATCTTTGGTCCAGTACGTCAAATTTTCGGCTAAGTATAGACCCTTTGTAAGGGGACCTATTATTTCAATCTTTTGTAATTGTTTAGGTGATGGACAGGAAAGTCCACTTTCCTTCTTGTTAAGATATTTAATATATATAGTTAATTTATCACATCAATGTATAGTGCAGTGATTTTTAAGTAATACAATAACAACATACCTAGTGAAATCCCACAAGTGAGGTCTAGAGAGGCAAGCACGGTGTACCAGACCTTACCACTAAGGGTGTTCACGGTTTGGTTTGGGTCGGTTATTGGTCAAAACCAAAACCAAACCAACTTAATCGGTTCTAAAATTATCAAAACCAAACCAAACCAAACCAAATATAATATACATTTATCGGTTTGGTTGTTTTCGGTTTTGGTTTGGTTTGGCTCGGTTATTCGGTTTTTTAACCATACATAAAAATAAAAGAAACAATTCATTCAAAACGTGAAAAAAGTGACAACAATCCATTCAAACAAAAAAATAGTTAGAATGACTGGCATTACAGAACTTTCGATCATTGAATTTACTGAATAAAACTTCAAAATTCACTATTTTGGCATTGAAGGAAGAGACAATGATATTTTTAGTCTCACAAAAAATTTTCATACACTCATATACATGAAACCAATAAGAAAAATGTTCTCACCTTGGACATTTTTTCTTTCATAAGTAAATTATAAATAAATTTTGATGAAACATATATAAAATCTTTAAAATTGTTTATGAATATAATATATTATGTATGTATAATAATAAAATTTATGTATATAGCTTGTTGGTTCGGTTCGGTTATTTCTTCGATTTTTTTCGAACAAAATCATAACCAAACCAAATACTATCGGTTCTTAACAATCTAAAACCAAACCAAACCAAAACGCAAATTAAATCGGTTTGGTTTGATTTTTCGATTTGGATTGGTTTTTATCCAAACCATGAACACCCCTACTTACCACTATCTCGTGGAGTTAGAGAGGCTGTTTTAAGTAATAATCTTCAGATTTTATTTGTTGTTGCAAGTTGTGGAAATGCAGAATTTTATTTTGGCATCATGACATTTTTTTATCTTTACTTTCATGCAACCTGGTAGTGTTAGTATACAAGACGCTGAACTAAGAAACATAGACGGAGAACATAGATATCTCAAAATGTATAAATTCGGAGAATTTTAGTAGCTCAATTGGTTGGCTAAACTTTTATCTTGTTGATATAGACGGAGAACATAGATATCTCAAAATGTATAAATCCGGAGAATTTAAGTAGCTCAGTTGGTTGGGTAAACTTTCATCTGGTTGGTCCCTCCCAGCAACTGTTGCTTAAAAAAAAAACCGCCGCTGCCGGGGATCGAACCCGGGTCACCCGCGTGACAGGCGGGAATACTTACCACTATACTACAACGACTTTGTTGGCTATATATTTTGTACGATGAAAGATATTATTATTTAATAGTAATAGATTGGGAATGAATGGTGCTGGATTGCCCATCCTTTTTATTTAAATTGGTAAGAAGAAAGGAAAACAAATATAGAGAAGAAGATATCCAGGATGGCTGCAACTCCCAACATTTACACCCAAAAGTTCCCAACAATTACAACTCAAAATTACATAGCCTCCAATATATCTTGTTTTATAAGTTTCCGAAAACAGAGCAGAAAATTGGTTTTAATAGTTGGAAACTCCAGTAGCAGCGACACAGCCTCAGCAATAGGCACAGATGAAACCTCACCTGTTGAAATTGCCCCTTCTATTATCTCTGCTCTTAATGTTGAAAAAGCTCTTCTTGGCATAGGTGCTTTCTTCCATTTCATTTATTTTTACAATTCACTTTTCTTATCACTGCAAAAGTGTATTGAAATTAAACTTTGTTTTCGAACATTTTAAATTTGATTTGTTCATCTTAATAACTATGATTTTTATTTTATTTTTGTCCTTCATTTGACTAATAAGTTACATTTTAGAATGCAGCAATAACAGATATAGATCACTATGGAATACTAGGACTTTCAAGAAAATGTTCATATGCTGAGGTCCACACAAAAACATCTCTTTAATTTTGTTTTTCTCTCTTTTTCACCCATTAATTAATCAGATAAAAAAGAAAAGAATAATTTGTTCTTAATGTTTGACTTGTATTCGTACAATATATATAGGTTCCAGTAGCGTACAAGAAAAAAGTTGAAGAAATTATGAATGAGGGATTGGTAGAAGAAGAGCTTAACAAGAAGCTTCAACTCCTAAAAGTATTAATTTCATCTCATTTTTTCTTATTAATAGACAAAGTTTTAGAGATTAATTTTTCTTTTGACATATATAGGAATCATATTCAATTTTGTCAACACCAGAGGAGAGAAGGTTGTATGATTGGAGTTTGGTAAGGAGTGAAGCACCGGATGATTACAAATGGCCATTTGAGGTTGATCCAACTCCGCCCTCTACGGGGACTCCTCCTCCTCAGGTACTGCTTTTTTCCCCATCACTTAATTAATACTCCCTCCGTCTCACAAATAATGATTTAGTTTAACTTGACACGAAATTTAAAAAAATAAAGAAGACTTTTGAATCTTGTGGTCTTAAATTAAAGTTATGTCAAATGTACAAAATTACCTTTTAATTTTGTGGCCTTAAACATGCTACGTGGAAAGCTGAAATTAAAATGTTACCAAAAAAAGAAATAGATCATTTTTTTTTGAAACAGAATAAAAAGGAAAGAAAGTCATTCTTTTTTAAATGGAGGGAGTAATTATTATATCAAAACATCACTTTGAAATTATTTTTAAAAAAAAGAGTCTATTGGGATAATATTTTCTTGGTTACTTACCAAACACTAGAAAATAAGTAAGATAACATTTTCACCAAGCATACTGTAAGTTAATTATTCCTTCAGTTAGACCAGAAAATGATTATAACTTGAGTTATCAATAATACTTTACGTTTTTTAATTGTATAAAAACATAATTACAGGAGCCAGAAGATGTGGAACCAACAATATTAGTGGGATATTTCTTTTTAGGTTGGTTTGTACTAGCTGCCGTGTTATCAATTGCCCTTAATCTCTAGAAAGAAAATTATATATGTTTATCATATAATAAGATATTCATTTTCGTGTAACATATATACACTTAAACCTTCAATTGTTGCATTTTTATGAAATTCTATGTAAATTTACCTTTTTTCTTCCAACGCACACCAGGGGATTTTTCACATTCTCTTTCTCCAGGGGAGTTCTAATCTTCCAATTAGGATCCCCTCATTGTTAGTAGTTTTAAATTTATACCTATAGCTTAGTAGATGGACTTAATATTTGGAATAAGGCGAGAACTAAGTAGTATGCAATTATTTACTAGTATTAACTATTAACTACTTATTTCCAAAGAAAAGTGAAAGTTTGGGGGGGATTTGAACGATTTGTAGTATCAAACTATCAATTAATAACATGTAACTTTCAACAAGGTTAATTTAAACTGATAATTTATAGAAAGAGAAATCAAGATTGTATTCACCAAAAGATTGTATGAATTATGTTGGGTAAATAGAAAATCCCATCTGGTAATGCTAGTATATCAGCTTATCAATCTTATACTACATTTAATCGTTTCTGAACCAAATTGAATGCATGCCACTTTTATTCTTTCGAAAGTGTTACCTCAAATCAGTGACATTTACTCAAAGTTGGTTAATCATAGGCAAGCTTTTATATCTCAAATCTTCGTTACTAGCTCTTTTCCTATGTTTTGCACATTATAACTCAAATAAGTAAAATTAAAGATTCTAATGTTTGCAACCATTAGAAATCAGTTAAGATGAAAGAACTTATAATGTATACAATCATAATACATGTTTTATTTCGTAAATATCCTTTGTTTAGGTCAAGTCGTCATGGATTTCAAAACCCGAGGTTTAGCCAGTCACGCAAACTCTTGATAAAACTTGTTCAAGTGTACATTGTTCTTCACTATAAACCAAGATGATAGTAGTATTTATAGTCCTGGAAAATTTGGAATTTAAAATAAAAAAGCTGGTCCATTGCTGACAGCTCATCACAAGTGTGACGATCCGCCGCTTACACTATCATCCCTTAACAATAACTTGATTAGAATCTATATTAAAGTATTAGATTGTTTTACATAGCTTACATTGGAAGCTCTCTTGTTAACTTATGGCACCAATGCATAGTGCAGTGTGGAGTAATCATCAGATTTTATTTGTTGTTGCAGAAATGCAGAATTTATTTTGGCATCATACCAGTATTTTTCAATCTTTTCTCCTTCTCCTTTCTTTCTAAACTAGCAGAATCATAGGACATCAAAAGGGGTTCATGCGACCTGGTATACAAGAGGCTGAACTAAGAAATATAGACGTAGAACATAGATATAGAATGACATATTTCAGCAGGAATGAGCAGATTTCTAGAACAGAGATAATATTCCATTCCAGTATTGTTTCTAATGAAGACAATTAAACTCAACAACCATACAAAGAAATAGAATCGTGACAATGTTATTCAGTTGAGGCTTTTGGATATCAATGTTTAGAATCACCTCAGCGGGTCTTGGTCTTCTGCTCGTGGACGTTGACAGCAGCACATATTTTCTTCCAGCAGTGGATCACTATGAGACTTGGTATCCAAACCCAGAAATGATTTGCAAAGACATAGTAAGCGTAGTAATAGAAGGGGCTTGTAGAAAAATTGTCGCCTTCCAAGACAGCTGTTATGAAGTATATAGCCGTGCCATAGAGCTGCCCCAAACAAATGGATAGTTGAAGTACGTGCCTGTATGCCTTCTTAGTAGCTATAGCATACCTGCCAATGCCAAAAGAACAATGAGGTCAAACTTGAATACATCTTCCTGCCCCGTCCATATACTTTTACTAATAAAGGATTTAGTCAAAATGATCCCAGCATCAAATCCCGCATACAATATTTGGTGGATAGAGTTACCTGGTACATGTGGTACATGAGCTACTGAGAGGTAGCAGGTACCACATGAAATTAGTAAAGATGCATGCAAGTTGACTCGACCACCACAGTTATCCAAGAAAAACAATCCGCATAATTAAATGCAGCATTTGGATGGTTGTATAAGAACAAATAATCCCCAATAATCTAATGTAGTGTTTGGTTGGCGCTATAAAAAAAATACCGACATTAAATTACACGAGAATTAACATGTTATTTTATGCGGGATAAAGTGTGGAATAAGAACAGTGGATTAGCATTACGAGGAGAGAAATACCCTTAAAATAAGTAACTGTTACATTATATTCCTTGTATTATTACTTTATCAAAATTATATTCCCTGTATATTATTATTAGTCAAGTTATTCCTTGTATAATTAATACTCACTGCAATACAATCCTTCATTTTTATTTCCCGCATAACATACGGTACATAACAAGTCCATGCATAACTAGAATGTGAACAAGCAACCCCTTAGGATAAGCACATTGATTCTGACAGTCTCAAGGTGCATGACAAGTTAATATCGCTTGAGAATGATACTTACACTGCAAGAAGGCATGCTGGCCCCTCTATGACAGCTGTGACCCCTTCAACACTGAGAACTGCAGCATCTCGGCCTACGTATCTTGAATCACCTTTGCTGTATTCTTTCCCTGCAATATATTGTTTGTGTTGGTACTTTTATAGGCCAAATTAGAAACATATCCTAATACAAATGAACTGTTCTTGTTTGTAAGAAGACTTTGCTAAATTGAGACTTACAGACTTCAGCAAGGTAAACAGGACTAGTCTTTTGGTAGAAATCTGGAGTAAAAACGAAATATCCCTCAAGGACCATGTGGGTTAGGCCCGTGAAAATCCACCAGCACATGAGCACCCTGTCAGTCTTTGATAATTTAGGAACAAACCCTAGCAAGGAAAAGAAGGAGAAATGAAGTTAGAGAACAAAACATGGCCACAATGGAGAATGAAAAAGATGGACTTTGCATATAGAAATTTATAACACTAATGCAGCTGAAAATTATGTAGTATAGAACTAGATAGAAAAGACCAACATGATAGTAATTTATGTCCTCATTTATCATTCACTACTAAACTTTGAGTACATGAAACTAACACTTAGGGGCTGCATGAGCTTAATTGAGAAGTGAAATAATTGTCAAGACTGCTTGAAGTCCTGACTGAGGCATAGGATAAGCTGTACAACTCGACGTTTTAGGGTTCAATATCTTCTTTAATCCCATTCACAAGTCAGTAAAGTTGTGGGTTGACATTAACATCAAACTAGATTCTCTTTTTTAGGGTCAAGACTGCCTGCAATTACAACAACATACCCATCGTAATCCCACAAGTGGGATATGGGGAAGGTAGGATGTAAGAAGACCTTATCCCTATTGTAGGGTAGAGATGCCGATTCGGATAGACCCTCGGCTCAAAAGAAGTGTAATCAGGATTGAAAGGAAAATAATGACAGCAAAATAGCAAGACTAACAAAGCAAATGAAGCAATAGGTAGTAGTAAAAATGAAGAATAAGATACTAAGCGAATTACTATATAAGGAGAAGATGAGAAGAGGAGAATAAATCAGTCATGCAATAATCATTGAATAATTACCTGAGAATATCCACATGAACACCACAACCAGTAAGGATGAGATGCCATATACACCAACAATTTCTGACTGTGAGAGGAATAGGGGAACAAAACCAGGCAATTTTAGATCATGCGGAACGTAGGGGTGAGCTTCTCCCTGGCTTGCCATTTTTTCTCAGTGCCTGACTTAAGGACCCTTTCCTGTGATCTGCAATTCACAGAAAGAACAAAGTCCATACATTAGAGAAGGTGTTACTCAATGAGCTACTCCACAATTTTCACATTCCCATCTAACTTCACTTGTAAGTATAAGTTATACTCTAATTTGACGATCTATCAAAAATCAGACGGAAACTACCCTACAGCTATTAAACTTTTTTTAAGGAATCGGGGCACAAAAGGCAAATACAAGAATCATAGTGAAATCAGTGGAAGTGATCAATCAACTACGCCTCAACTACAAAATAGTTGGACTTGACTATGTGAAACCATTGTATCCGTTCCATTCTTTTCAACTGCATATTATTCTGATGAACAAGTCAAATTAGGGATTCTCCAATGTGTATGGTAAAGGAAGAAAACAATTTCCTAGAAAGTATTTCACTAAAGAAGTTATTGGGCAACACTTCTCATGGAAAAAATACCATAAAAAAGATTCACCTATGGCATAAATAAAATCATCTTTTAACAAATATCGCAACTCTTAATCCACATACTTGCTACAAACAACACTTGAACATTATTTTCAATAATTAAGAAATTTCATCAAATTCCCAAAACAAAACATAATTTAATTGTCACAATTATAACATGTTTGGCCAAACTTCAAAATAACTTATTTTGAAAAGTGTTTTCCAAGAAAAGTACTTTTGGTGAGGAACAATTTGTGTTTGGCTAATAAAATTAAAAAACATTTTTGAGCAACAATTAGTGTTTGACCAAGTCATCAGTTACTCCTCAAAAACACTTATTTTCTCCCAAAAGCTTGGCCAAACACTTCACTTTTTTCAAATAAACACTTATGGTCTCCCAAAAACATGGTCAAACAAGCTATTAACATCAATGCTTAATTAATATTTTCCACTCACCAACCAAGCATCTGAAAAACTTTTCGAGGAAATAATTTTCAAAACATTTCCCTTAATACCAAACACAACTAGGTCTCTAAATCAGGAAAACTAATGCTGGTTAAAAATTAAAAAGAATGAGTAAAGTTTTCAAAACCCATAGAATCTAAAGATGAAAATTAAGGTCAAAATCTCTAAAATCACAATTCCCACACAATGACAGAAAACTAGATCCCTTTTTCACTTTCAAGCAAATGTAAGCATAAAACAGAAGTACAAACAAAACAGACTAGTAATTACCCTAAAGGATGAGACTTTCACACTTCTCAGTCACTTTTATTCACATATGAACATTATAATAACTATTAAATCCAAAATTTACATAATTCCTGAAACATGCATATAAAGACATGAACTTTAGCATCCCATTTGGTTAAATCATTTAAATAGCTCAAAAAATCCATTAAAATACAGAAAATTACAAAAGGGTAACTCTTAAGAATTTTTCAGATCAGTGAGAGTTGACTTACCGGCGATGAAGAAGAAAAGGG